CCTTCCATTGATAAAAAGTTTCAAGAACATTAGAATAACGTGGCAACGTCGCATCTAATTTCAAAAATAAACTATCGTTGTAAAGTCTAAGAAGTGGTCAATCAAAATATGTAAAAATATGCAGGCCGTTTTATTAAAAAAAAAACAAGTTGTGTGTCATGCCCTAAAAATAGAACACTTTGTATAGTTAAAAATAATTTTAGAGTGCAGTCCTCAAAGTATCGGATAACTTTGATCTTTGACTTTTTTTGAGCCAATATAATTTTGTTAACATTAATTTTCAAAGGTTACTAGACAACATTTTTTTTTTATCATATGGCATTACTTCTCGAGAGAGCAATAAAAAGCACAATCAAAGAAAGCCACGCATTTTTTAAAGTTTCAACTCAAACTTTCAATTTGACGATAATTTGGCAATACGAAAGTTCTATCAAAGATAAATCTCCAAAAACCCATGGTTCACTTTGATGTTTTTTTTTCTGTTGTTCTCGTTATGTTATGTTAGGTCGTTCTATTTTGATAAATAAGTTTGATTATTATTATAGTTGGCTTAAAAGCATAATGTTCTAAAAAAAAAGGCAGATACTTTAATATAATAATTTTTTATCGGTAACGAAACGGAAAATTACAAGACTTAAAATTCAGTGACCCGAGTAATTTTAATTCTCGGCTGCGCCTCGGGTGTAAAGTATACACTTAATTTTTTGACTTTCCTTTGATTACTAACATATCTTCTAAGAAAATAAAGCGCAGGTGGGTGGGGCTAGTACTTACCAAAATAAGACTGATTTGGCAAATCACCTACTCTCTGAGAAAATAAAGGGTGGGTGGGCGGGGCTAGTACTTACAGAGATAAAACTGATTTTGCCAAATAATATACCCTCTACCCTTCATTTTCTTACAGGGTATGTCATTTGCCAAAATCAGTCTTATCTTAGCAGGTACTAGCCCCGCCCACCCACCCTTTCTTTTTTTTACACGGTACCTCATTTGCCAAAATCAGTTTTATCTTAGCAAGTAGGTACAGATGACTACCTTTTACAAAAAATTATCAAAATTTGCAAATATTACGAGCTTACTTATATGCACAAGGCAGGAATTTTGAACATCTTCTCTAGTGTTTAGTTATTCTTTCTATGCTTTATTACTGGAGTTTAGTTTTGAAATTTCGTTGCGATGTTGCCACGTTATTTCGATTTTCTTGAAATATTGTGGCAATGAAACAGTTCACAAAAAAAATTGCAGTAAGGTTATTTTAAAAATCTGTGTTGCAATATTTGACTGAAGAGTAAATAAGGGTGCGAGCTTTGTTGTGATGTGATTTAAATCAAATTTTAGTATACAGAGTGTTAAAAAAATTCTTACGACTCTCAAACATCGATAGTTGAGTTTATTCAACAGAACATCCTGTATCAACATCAAGTATAGAAGATACTTGACAAAAAGGAAAGAGAACAAAAAATAGAGTACGATCCAGTAACAAAATAGAGGGTGTTCTATTTGAAACAACTGAAATATAGATAATTGAAAATTGTGATAATTAAAATTTTCTTAAAAATACTCTTTAATTATTTTACCTCAAAATATCGTAACGCAGATTTTAAAAATAACCTTCCTGCGATTTTTTTATGAACCTTTCCATTGCTAAAAACTTTCAAGAAAATTAGAATAACGTGGCAACGTCGCATCGTAATTTCAAAAATAAACTATGGTTGTAAAGTCTAAGAAGAATCAAAATATGTAAAAATATGTAGGCCGTTTCATTAAAAAAACAAGTTGTGTGTTATGCCTTGAAAATAGAACACTCTGTATAGTTAAAAATAATTTTAGAGTATAGTCCTCAAAGAAGCGCACAACTTTGATGTTTGCCTTTTTTTGAGTCAATATAATTTTGTTTTAACATTAAATTTCAAAGGTTACTAGACAACATTTTTTTATCATATGGTATTATGGAATCGAGAAGGCAATAAAAAGCACGATCAAAGATAGCCATGCATTTTTGAAAGTTTGGCTTTGATCAGCGTTGCATCGTATATATTTTCAACTCAAACTTTCAAATTGACGATAATTTGGCAAGACGAAAGTTCTATCAAAGACAAATGTCCAAAAACCCATGGCTGCTTTTGATCGTTTTTTTTATTGTTCTCGTTATGTTATGTTATGTCGTTCTACTTTCGGAAATAAGTTTGATTATGATTTTTGGCTTAAAAGCATACTTTTACAAATAATAATAATAATTTTAATGAAGATTTTTAAGCACCTATGTTTAAGTTTTTATCGGTAACGAAACGGAAAATTACAAGACTTAAAATTCAGTGACCCGAGTAATTTTAATTCACGGCTGCGGGGTATACACTTAATTTTTTGCCTTTGCTTTGAATACAATTTCTGAACATACGTTCTTTTTTTATTCATTTTTATTTAAAAATCTAATTTGCTAATTTTCCCAAAATTCTCTACGAAAACAAATTTCAGTGTTTCAAAAATCGTGAATAAAACTATAATGTTAAAAGTATTATTATTACTCCAGGCAAAGCCGAGAGTTGCTTTATTTTTGTCTGACATGAGTACGTTTCCAACCCTCGGCTGCGCCTCGGGCACAAATTACGCTCTTAATTATAAGCCTTCAGTTTTTAAATCTTTCTCTCTCATATATGAATATTAAATTTACCCAAGGACAACTCGATCACAAATTATCTATATATTTTTTACGTTTCCAAATTTAAAAACAGAACACTGTAGAGTTAAAAATAATTTTACAGTATACAACTTTGATCAATATAATTTTGTTAACAATAAATTTCGAAGGTTACTACACAACTTTTTTCTTCATAATATGGTATTATCTATCTAAAGCGCATTAAAAAACACGATCAAAGGTAAACCATGGATTTTTGAAAACTTGTCTTTAATCGTTGTATTGTCAACCCAAACCTTCAAATTGACGATATAATTTGTCAATACGAAAGTTCTATCAAAGACAAATGTCCAGAAAATAATAATTTTCCAAAAAAAGAAAAAGGTAGATATTTTTACAACAATAATTATTTTAATAAACACTTTCAGGCAGCTGTGTTTAATTTTACTTTTTAACTGGTAATAATTTTTTATCGGACAACATGAATTTTAAGTGACCCGAGTAATTTTAACTCTCGCCTTTTTAGTCATCATCATAAAAATCAGTAACAAAAATAGTGAAATTGCTTTATTTTTCTCATTTCCCTATATAAAACCATAATTTGCAAAAAATTTTGGGTTTGACAAAATATTTTCAAAATTCTTCTTGGTATTAGATTTTATTACAAATCTCCCATGAGTACGTTTGCATTCATCAATTATGGACTAAATTGAAACCAGACAAAGGTGTTACCCAAGGACAACTCGATCACAAATTATCTATATAACCCTAAATATCAAACTGAATAACAGGAACCGAGAGTGTTTGGGTGAAGCCACCTAATTTTGTTAACATTAAATTTCAAAGGATACTAGACAACGTTTTTCGTCATAATATGGTATCATTTACCGAGAGACCAATAAAAAACACTACTGAAGATAAAATTTGCCTTTGATCGTTTGAAACTTTCAAACTGACCAAATTACCGTCTATCAAAGACAAACTTTTGGCTGTGTTTGATAATGTTTTTTATTGCTCTCTCCATGTTGGATATTTTTTTTTTACTAAATAGAGACCAGGTATTTTGTAAATAGGTTTCATTATTTTCGGCTTGAAAGCATAATAATTTTCAAAAAAAGCCAGAGACTTTTATAAATCATAATTACTTTAATGAAGACTTTCAGGTTTAATTTTATTTAGTAACTGGTAATAATTTTTTATCGGTAACGAAACGGAAGATTACCAGACAACATGAATTTTAAGTGACCCGAGTAATTTTTAACTCACGGCTGCGCCTCGGGTAAAGCATATAGTTCATTTTTTACCTTTCCTTTCGATACATGGGTATTTCTCAACCTATATCTTTATTTTATTTAAGTACTTATATCACAATCGTAAAATTTTGGGTGATAAAAAATGAACTAAGAATAAAATTGTCGCTATATCGACGATGTTAAAGAAGTTTTAACGTTGAAAAATTAGTTGCACCCGAGGCGAAGCCGAGGGTTGTTTTATATTAGTAGCGTTAATCTGGTAAGTAGTTACTTACAGATATTACAACTATTTTATTTACATAATAAAGTTAGTAACTCGCTGTCATAAATATCAATATTGCATTAAGAGAGTTATTTATTGTCCATTAATATTGTATGTATAATTCTTTCCTCGATGGAGAAATATTTCGCGACCAAGGAAGGAAAAGGGCAGAAGTTTTTTTTTGTTGTTGTTGGAGCCTTCAATAGGCCAAGAGGCGGTCAGCCCACAGGTGGTATCGCCGATCCCCACATCCTTGAATTCTCGTAGCGCAACAAACCCATCGGTGGTATTAATTGAACGGCTGTAGTTGAACGGTAGCTGGAGCAAGCATGGCCAGAGGCAGCAGCCTGTGATTACCGCTCGCTATCGAACTACTGTCCAGGTGTAATTATACGTTGGGGATGCAATCTACCCGTCGCCCTATCCAATCTCGCCCAACTCCTTTTGTTTTCAGTATTTTGGCTACTTCAGTATTTTAATTTACGTCTGAATACAAATTATAAGGTGCACGGTGCACGCCCGATGAATTCTTAACAGCCAGCCAACGAGCTCAAATTAAACTTAATAGTGAATACGTGAACGGATCCGCAACAGGGCCACCGATAGTCACCTGGTAACACCTCGACAATTACTAGCCGGCCTATTGAGCTTTTCGTTATTTATGGCGTTTCGTACGCACCAGCTCGAACATGTTTCTAATGGGACTTTGGTATAAATACTATTAATAATCGCGCTGTCGGGACTAATTTATTGATTGTAAAGGTTGCCGATATAAATTACCGACCGTTTTTACTTTCATTGCGCTTTATTGATTTTTTTTTTATTAATTAAGCGTGGCGGGACTCACCCGTGTGCAGGAAGAGGTGGTTCTTGAGGTTGGTGTGCTTGGAGAACCCTCGGGAACATATGTGGCACTTGAAAGGCCACGAGCCGGAGTGCACGTACATGTGGGAGCGGAGGTCGCCGGGGGTCGGGAACGACTTGCTGCACAGGTTGCATTTGTGGGGCTTGTCCTGGAACAAACAACAAAGTGAAAGATTAGGGGTGAAAATTTCAAAAAAGTGATAGGCGGCACGCTTCCATTACATATTTAGACCCTATAATCACATACAGCAATACTCTTCTGGCTGTTTTTAGACAAAAAACAATTAAAATATTTTTATGTATTACTTTCGACTTTTTATTTTTAGTTTATTTACATTATGTTGATTGAGGATTTTTTATTAGCACCCATTTACGAATTTTTAAAATTATACAGTTTTTTAATTTAGGATTCTCAGTTTCCGATTTTTATTTTGCATTTTTTTAATTCTACATTGTTTCGATTTGCAAGTTTTTAAGTTTTCAATTTTACGTTTTTCAAAATTTTGCCTCATCAACATTTGATTTTTTCAATTTTTTAACTTACAATTTTCCGATTTTACAGCTCGATTTGTCAATTTCTAGATCGTTTATTTAGTTTTGGATTTTCCAGTTACTCGATTTTTAACTTTTCGATTTCAAATTTTCCATTTGTGAATTTTTATTACTTCAATTTTTCGACTTTACAGTTTTCCGATTTTTGGTCTTCTAGTTTTCAATTATTAATTTTCCTATTCTACATTTTTTGGAATTTTCTATTTTCCGATTTTGTAATTTTTCTGTCTCTCAGATTTTTAATTTGCAACTTTTCGATATTTCAATTTTGCATTTCCTCAATTTTTTTTAAACATATTTCACTTGGTAATTTCTTGTAGAAAAATATGAACTCTGCATTTAAAAACTCCGCCCTCTGTCTCACAACGAATAAAAAAATTAATCACAATTGGGATGGGGCGGGTGGGTGGGGCTGATCCTTTGATTTGTTTTTCGTAATATACTAGTCTTCTTTTAACAGTAAAATACTTAATAATAATAATAGATCCTCAGTACCCAGAAACCAAAATCACCCAGTAAAATATTTAAGATATCAAAGACTTAATTTGAGATTAGAATTATGTTTTAGGTATCGTGTTTTTGAAAAAAAAACTACATGCATTAAGTAAAAGACACCAATGATTAAGCCCCGCCCACCCACCCTATCTCAATTCGGATGAATTTTTCATTTGTTGTCAGATTGAGGGGCGGAGCTTAACTGCAAAATCCATATTTCTCTACAAAATAGTAGAAATATTTCAATTTTGTACTTCCTCATTTTTTTAACTTCTTTCACATGCTAATTTCTTGTTGAAAAATATGAACTCTGCATTTAAGCTCCGCCTCCCGTCTCACGACGAATAAAAAACTTAATCATAATTGAGATGGGGCGGGTGGGTGGGGCTAATGCTTTGATTTTTTTTCGTATTATACTAGTCTTCTTTCAACAGTAAAATAGTTAAAATAGCAAAGGGTGAATTTGGGATAAGAATGATGTTTTAAGTATCGTGTTTTTGAAAAAAAAAAACTACATGCATTAAGTAAAAAATAACAATGACTGAGCCCCGCCCACCCACCCTATCTCAATTCTGATAAATTTTTCATTTGTTGTCAGACTGAGAGGCGGAGCTTAACTGCAAAATCCATATTTCTCTACAAAATAGTAAAAATATTTCAATTTTGCACTTTGTAGATATTTTAATTTTTCCTTATTTCAATTAATCGAGATTACAGTTTTTAACTTAGCTTTTAAATTTTTCAAGTTCTCAATTTCCTAATGTTTTATTTTCCCAGATTCTAATTTTTAATTTAATTCAAAAATAACAAATTTATTAAAACTGAAATTTTCACGATTTTATAGTTTTTGATTTTTCTATTTTATATTAATATAGTATTATTTACATTTAAACTTTTCTTTACTAATTAATTTTTAATTGCTTTCACCTCGTTTGTTTATATTGTTTTGACTGAGCATTTTTTTGTTCATTTCCTGGCGATCTCCTTTTGTTTTTGAGAGATTAAAAATATTGATTCCCAATATTTTTCTCTTAATAGTATTTTCTACAATACGAACATAACTTAAACATATGGACTTTGCATTTAAGTTCTGCCCCTCCATCTCATAACCAATAAAAAATTCGCCACAATTGAGATCGGGTGGGTGGGTGGGGCTTATTTTTTTTCTTGGTATGTGTAGTTTTCTTTCAATTACATGGTGCTTAAAACATATTTCACATTGTAATTTCTTGTAGAGAAATATTATCTCTACATTTAAGCTCCGCCCTTCGTCTCACGACGAATAAAAAAATTAATCACAATTGGGATGGGGTGGGTGGGTGGGGCATATCCTTTGATTTGTTTTTCGTAATATACTAGGCTTCTTTCGACAGTAAAATACTTAAAAACTCAAAGAGTTGATTTGAGATTAGAATTATGTTTTAAGTATCGTATTTTTTTTTTAAACCTACATACATTGTCAATGATTAAGCCCCGCCCACTCACCCTGTCTCAATTCTGACGAATTTTTCATTTGGTGTCAGATTGAGGGGCGGAGCTCAACTGCAAAATCCAGGTGTCTCTACAAAATAGTAAAAATATTTCAATTTTTCAACTTATAGATAATTTAATTTTTCCTTATTTTAATTAATCGAGATTTCAATTTTTAACTTGGCTTTTAAATTTTTCAAGTTCTCAATTTTCTAATGTTTTATTTTCCCGGATTTTAATTTTTAATTTAATTCAAAAACAACAAATTTATTAAAACTGAAGTTTTCACGAATTTACAGTTTTTGATTTTTCAATTTTATATTAATATAACGTTATTTATGTTTAAATTTTTTTTAACTAATTAATTTTTAATTACTTTCACCTCGTTTATTTGTATTGTGTTGACTGAGCATTTTTTTTAATTTTTTTTCTGGCGATCTCCTTTTGCTTTTGAGAGATTAAGAATATTTATTCTCAATTTTTTTCTCAAAATAGTATTTTCTACCATACGATCATGACTCAAACATATCGACTTTGCTTTTAAGCTCTGCCCCTTGATCTCATAACCAATAAAAAATTCGCCACAATTGAGATCGGGTGGCTGGGTGGGGCTTATTTTTTTTCTTGGTATGTGTAGTTTTCTTTCAACAACATGGTACTTAAAACATATTTCACATTGTAATTTGTTGTAGAGAAATATTAACTCTGCATTTAAGCTCCGCCCCGGTCTCAGGACAAATAAATAAATTAATCACAATTGAGATGGGGCGGGTGGGTGGGGCTTATCCTTTGATGTTTTTTTCGTAATATACTAGTCTTCTTTCAGCAGTAAAATACATGAAATATGAAAGGGTGAATTTGAGATTAGAATTAACCCCACCCACCCTATTCCAATTCTAATGAATTTTTCATCAGTACTCAATTTTCAAATGTTTCATTTTTAATTTAATTCAAAAAGAACAAATTTATTATAACAAATTTTCACGATTTTACAGTGTTTGATTTTTCAATTTTTATATTTAAATTTTTCGAAAAACTGAAAAAGCGTAATTTTAAATTAGAAATTCAAGAAAATTGAACACAAGCAATTGAAGTACAGAAAAATTCAAAAATAGAAAAAATGACATCGAAAAATTAAACTAGAAACTCAAAAATTGCAAATCAAAATATTGAAGAAAGGCAAAATTAAAAATCGAGGAACGGAAAATTCGAAACACTGAAAATACGAAAAAAGTAAAAATTCAAAACTTGAAAATTCAAAAAGTTGCTAATCGAAAAATGGATTTATAGAAAAATTCGAAGAGTTGTATTACGAATAGTCTTCATATTGAACGACATCAGTTTAGCGTTCACTACAGAGTGTACAGAAATTATCAACTCAACCCGATTGAAATAACGTATTTTTCGTTCCATTTTTCCAGTAAATGCCTGGAGACAGTCACGAATAGTCCATCAGATAACCCATTGCGGCTGTAGCAATCCATGTCAATGACGGCGTACATAGTAGCCTGATCGACTGTCAACTCTCCTTTTCAACACGGACAAGAACTAAATAACTCCGACTTAAATAGATGCATAAGTATTGCAGTTAAAGATGTTACAACAACGTCGGCCTGTACGTCTCCTGGGAGCTATTGCGTGCAGGAGATACGAGCTTCACGTACCCGAGCTGGGTCTTTATCAACTGATAATAAATTTACCATTGTGTGGTTAAGATTTGAATTAAGAAATAAATTCGCCGTAATGCCGGGTTGCACGGTTTAACGGCTCACATAAATCTCGCGTATTGATTACGTGTAAATTAAAGCAGTGTTTTCTTAATTAGTTTATTTAAATTAGAAGGCTGATTATATGGGGCAGTAGTGGAGGCGAAACGCTTACTGGGCTCCGTGGGAAACTCTCGAAGATGTTCTGGTTCGCCGCTTGCAGACCTTATTGTTGTACACATGTCATAGTAACAACCTTGTGAGGCACCCTTAACCTTTCGCTGTTTACGCTGTTATACTTGACTTATCTCGGTGACCTAAGCGAATTTTCACGTCTTTGTGTGGTTTGTGGACGGCAGGAAAAAACCAGTAATCGCACCGAGTGACTACTGCTGCTGAAATGTTAGTCAGAGGAATCGAGTTAGAATTATAATTGCGACGTAACCCATACTTCGCCACTGTCTATGATTCGAATTTAGTCTTCAATAAAAAATGCAAATAACCGTTGGTGCTCTAAACCCAGGAGCCACTCTTTGCTCAAAGAAAGCTCTAATTATCCCCCGCTACGCCAACAAATTTCCTTTCATTACCGGGCAATTAGTTCCACTTTTCCGCTTAATCGGCAATACGTCTCAAAATGTCACATAAATCATTTTAAAATTAATACGTGTCACAGCCTCCGCAATAAAAGCAACAAGCTCAGAGTTATGTGTACCGCAATGATATAAAACCCTCCGGTTAACTAATTTCAATACCAGCAAGTAGCTGAACTTAGAACAGCAATCATACCATAAATCATTATTAGCTTTGATGAACTTCCAAGAAAATGCCGCATATCGCTCGTTCGACGTTGAACTCGCGATCCTCGTAAAAACTTGCCGTAAACACTAAATTACATTTTAATCATGCTGGATTGTTGCCGTAAT